ATCCATTCAGTGCTGATTTGGAGAGATTTGGTGATTCAGATTGGCCGGGGAGAGGCAGACATAGATGGGCAGCTGCAGGTTCTCCTGTGACTCCTCCAGCTGTGTCTGCCTCTCCTCAGGCGGTGGGAGCTGTGGGAGCCCATGGCTGCCCTGCCCAGCCCCATCCTAGTCCTGGCACTTAAAAAAAAAAAAAAAAAGCCCCGCTCTCACCAGCTGCAGAAGTGGCAATTAGGGCCTCTGGGTGCTCATGGATCACCACCCATTGCCTGGGACCTGCGCAGCAGCTGCCCCATGGCACGGGTGCAGTGCAGCTCAGCAGGGCACCATGCACTGTATGGGAGCTGGGCTCTGGGTGACAGCTGGCGAGTGTGGGGGAGGGGGGTTCTTTTTTTAAAATGCCAGGAGGCTGGGCTGGGTGGGGGATAGGCAGCCATGGGGGCTTCTCCCACAGCTCCCCTAGCTGTACCTGCTTCTGCCCCGGTGGGAGCACCTGTTGGGGCTCTGCCCTGCTGCCGCTTGCCCAGCCGGTGCAGGGATGGGAGGGCACGATATGGGTATGGTTCACACTGGGCAGAAGCAGGGCATAGCCCCTGCTCCCAGAGCTTCTGTGCCTGTATCAGCACTGGAAGTGGGGACTCTGCCCTGCCACCACTTGCCAGTCAGTGCGGGAGGCCCAGGATGCAGGTGCAGCAGCACTGGGAGTGGGGGCTATGCCCTGCTGCCGCTTACCCCCTTCCACCTGGAGAGAGCCACGTCCGCATCCCGTCCCCTCCCCTTGCCCCAGCTGGGCAAGTGACAGCAGGGCAGAGCCCCCACTCCCAGCACTGCCGCACCTGCATCCCTTGCTCCCCTCCCCGAGTAACGCACCCCCCCATCCCAGCTGGGCAACTGGTTCCAGCCCCAGCCCCAATCCCTTCCTCCCCCATGCTCCTTCCCTCCTCCCTCCCACAGCCCCCAACAGACAGCTGCCTCCAGCTGACACAGTGGTGGAGCAGGCAGCTGCTGTGGCTCTAGCACTGACCTGGAGTGCAGACAGGAGCTGCTAGGCTGTGCTGGAGGCCAGAGGTGGTGGGAGTGCAGGGGTGAGGAGGACAGGTGTCTGCAGGAAAGAGGCAAGAGGCTGCTTAACTCCCCCCCACCTGCCCTCCCACTGCATCCCATACTACTTGCCCCTCTACTGCCTCTTCACCATCTGCACCCCCACTTTCTCCCTTATCACCTGCCCCCCTGCTATTGCTTTCTCCAAGGCAGAAGTGCAGGAGGCAGGGAACAAATTTAAGATGACCCTTCAACATGGAAAATTATAACAAATGTATACATATTTATACATTTTGCTTCTATTAAACTGAATTACTGGGGTATCATCTTAAATTCAGGGTTGTCTTGGATTTGAGTATATGGTGCAAAGATTTTATATATATATATTTATAAGTTATTTATACACGTATAGATATAAATGAACAATATATATAATAACAATACATACATTTGATAAAGAGATGGAGATATGGAGAAGGTGATGAAGAACAACATGGAGACAGATCTATGTAAATCAGCAATACAATTTTTACTGTTCAAATTTAGTTGCAACATATACTGGCAAAACTGACATTAAAAAAGATGACTAAAGAGGGTTTAAATACAAAAAGTTAAAAGTTGCTAAAAATATTAGCAAAACTCTTAAAGCATAGAAGAATTCTAGCAGTATGCTTTTCTACTATGAATGAATTCATTTTTGAATGATTTTAAATAGTCCCTCATAAATCATGCCAAAACTAAGCCACAGACAAGTTTAAGCTTAATCACGGTTCAGCTATACCAAAATTGAGGGCACCCAACTGGGCAGTTAGATCCTTTTCAGAGAATGATTCATTCTCAGACAGATGACTTAACCAATGCCCCATACTCAGATTAGGATTGAACAGAGCAAAAAAATCAACCACAAACAGAGGTAACACCAAACACGTTCTTTCTTCCCATTAGATAGTACAGGAAAAATCATTCAAGAATTCAGCACCACCATTGCAACAGTATATATTAAATATAGCTCCAGTTCCAAACAATCTATGTTTTGAAATAATTGACTCCTATGTTGACATCCTATCCCACCCAAGCTTGGTTTTCCAAGCATTAATTCTCCAGTACAGATGCCTTACCAGTTTCTCTTAACAGATACAATTGCTGACATATTTATTGCACATATATTTCATTTCCCTAACTCTGTCTTGCCCCTTTCGATGATTTATTTTTGTTATTTATAAATTTCCTCAATTTTTCTCTTCTTTCTTGTCAGAACATTCCCTTTTCTTTTCCCTCCTCTTGGTTTCCCTGCTCACTCGCTTGTGCACTCTCTTTTTCTCTCTCTCTCCCTCCCCCGCCCCTCACCCAACCACCTTCTTTGTCCTCAGTTTTTCCACTTTATTCTTTGAAATCACTCTATTCTTCCTCCCCCTTCTGTAGACCATACTTTCTACTCTTTTGTTTCTTACTGCCCTATTATTTGTCTCCATTACTACACTCTCTTTACTGCTCCCTTTCCAGATTCTACCTCTAATTATTTGAGAATATATATTAGTCACAGTGCAGCATTTAAGCACCTCATAGTCACTTGCAAATACATTCCACACCACCACTATGAGTTAGGAAAATATTATCCCCATTTTATGGTTAAGGCACAGGGAGATCCACTGGCTTGCCCAAATAAATGCAGGAAGTCTGTAGCACAGCTGGAAAATGAATTCAAAACAACTAATTCCCACAATCCATTGTCCTAACTGCAAAGATATCCATCTTTCCCCTCATCCCACACCAAGGAAAGGAATAGTCAATTCCTTTTCCCATATAGGAAAGATAATAGAGAGGGAAACAGGAATTCTCTTTCAGCCCCCCTAGACTTGGAAAAAAAGGCAATAGGTTCAAAAGTGAAGCAGAACTGAAGGGGAGAGGGCAAGGGAAGAGAGATGAGATTTTTATACCCACTGCCATCAGGGGATCAACAAGGAATTAGTAGAGTCTTCTCACTTTCCCCTTCTTCCTCCATGATCTTCCCTTCAGTCTCTCTCTCTCTACTGCCTGAAAAGGTCAGATTGTATGACTTCCTCTCAAGTAATAGTTACCTATTTGCGCTAAGGTTGCCATTCATCTGTTCTTACAGGGAGCGTTCAGATCCACACAGCTGGGGCTTAAATTCAAAATTAATTTGTCCTTGTCTAAGCCACATTGGAATATATATAATGTACACTGCAATGGAAGGATCCAGGCACTAAAATTGGAACTCACCACTTCAGACTCAACAGGGGGGGGGAAGTGGGAAAGAAGGAACACCGATTTCCTCTCATCTGACTCCAAAGGGAGCAACAAAAATGAAGTGAGATTTTATCCCACCATTAACTTACAATACAGGCAGTCCTCAATTTATGACTGTTCAAGTTCTGAGAAATGGCACTTACGACCTTTGTAAATTATGACACTGTTTCGAGTTTCCGATGGGGTTTCGACTTTATGATGATGGACACAGCTGCCTCCAGTTGGTAAGTCTGTTGTGGTGGGTCATGGGGGTGCAGATCAACACCCCCACAGCAAGGGAGGGATTGGGGCTGGGGCAGGGATAGGGACTGCCCAGCAGGTGGGGGGGCATGGGAAAGGTGTGGGGTAGCTCCCGCTGCTGTGTGCTGCTGGTCCAGGAGGGGATAGGGGGACATGTGCCCCCAGATCTGCATGGGGTGGGTGGGGCTGGGGTTGGGCCAGGCTGCACTCTGGGTGGATGGTGGAAGGTGCTGGGAGCAGGGGCTATGCCCTCCTGCCGCTCACCAAGCCAGGGCAAAGTGGAGCCACTGCACTGCCTCCAGCCTCCCGCACCTCCTGGCCCTGCCTTGCCCTGCCCAGGCTGGGTGCGCAGCAGCAAGGCATTGGGGGGCAGGGGGGCATGTGCCCCCAGATCTGTACAGGGTAGGCAGGGCCGGGGCTGCCCAGGATCCAAGCTGTGCTCTGGGCAGGTAGCAGGGGCTATGGGCAATTTTAGGGTGGCTGCAGCCCCCCCATAGCCCCCACTCCACCATCTACCCCTCACAGATCTGGGGGACACCCCCCATGTCCTGCCGCTGCCACCGCTCACCCAGTCAGGGTGGGGCAGGGCAAAGCTGCAGCTTGTCCAGGAGATGCAGGGAGGCCAGGGCAGCTCTGGTTGCTGCACACTGGTTGTCCATAGGCAACACAGCGGCTCTGCCCCACCCCAGCTTGGCGAGTGGCAGGACAGCATAGCCTTCACTCCCAGCCCTGGCCCTACCCACCCCTCACAGATCTGAGGGCACATGCCCCCGCCCCCCTGCCATGTCTTATTGGGCTGGTGGTGGGAACAGTGGTGAGAGCCACCAAATGACCAGCTCCCAGACTGGCATCCCACAGCGGCGGGAGCTGCCCACCTCCTCCCTGCATCCACCACACCAGCTGGGCAGTCCTTGCCCCAGCTCCTGTCCTAGCCCCAGCCCCAAACCCTCCCTTGCTGCATGGGCATTGTCCCCCCACCACAACAGACTTCCCAGATGGAGGCAGCTGTGTCAAATGTGGTAAAGGAACCAATCCCCCATTTATAACATTGTTCCTATAGGAAAACTGATTCTGACTTACAATGTTTTGACTTAAGACATGGTTTTCAGGAACCGATTGCATCGTAAGTCTGAGGACTGCCTATAGACATAATTTGGCTGTCTCCAAATTGTCACTTCACCTGCTCACAATAGGCCACAATTCTAAAACTTCATCTCTATTCTTATTATGGCAATGTGGAAGTTGTCACTAGATACTTAAATAACTAGATATCTAGGGGTGCAGACAGAAGTGCAGCTCCCAGCTGTAACTCAGAACCATTTCTGCAAAGTGTTCCGACTTACAACATTACCCCAGACCAAACAGAAAATCACAGGCACAAAAAAAATAATCTAGTTAAGGCCAGAATAAAAACCAGCCCCAATATGTGACTCATAAATGCCAGATCAACAAACCTCATAATCTCCAGGGCCAGGAGTAATCTCTTTTGGTTCTTTAAAACGTTCCTCTCTGGAAGCAAATAAGGAAATGCTGGAAGCTGATTTCACAACAGGGTTGTATGTCCCAGGCCCTAAAAAGGGAAAAAATAGAATATTATTTTAAAAAGTGATTTCTAAGCATCTTAGAATTCTGTATAGATGGCCTTGGTGCAGGTCAGAATGGTTGTATAGCATGAATGCTAAGTGTACATGATCTTTTGTTTACTGTTTGTGCCTATGATGGGTGTGGGAAGAATCAATCATTTACCCAGCTTCGGGAAAGTGATTGGACAAATTATTGGAGGAAAGGTGCCTCAGTAGCTGCAAGTGAGAAAGTGGAAAAAACCCTGGTCATACCCTGTTCACACTCCCTTAGAGCACCCATTCTGCCACTGTGACAAAGGATATCGATACTGGGCAAGAGGGACCTATGGTCTGACCCAGTAAATGGCAGTTCTTATGTTCTTATCATAGCATCCATGAATTTACTTTCCCATTTTCTTCATATTCTGTAGTTTTCGTACTGCTTCTATATTTGGCAAAGAATAATGTGGATACATTGTTTTTTTTTTAAATCTTTAATTTTTCAAACAACAAATTCAACCCTTGGTTACATCAGTGTAAATCCTGCAAAAAGTCAATGAACTTTGACTTGCTTGGAATGTGCATCAGCCTAGCTTAGAGCAGATTCGGCCAACTGTATAAAGTAAAATAAATGACCTCTCATTCTTTGAAACACTGGCTCAGTATTTCCTGAATTTTTGATACCCAGGGCACACTTTTTCTGGATTAAAATTGGTGGCACATTTTTACACCTGAAAAGGGGAGCAAGGAAAAGTGGTAGTAGCAACACAAACACAGTTTGCCAATGTCTTTCTCAATTCTGTTGCTACTTCTCCCAGCACCCCACTCCCTAAGTGCAATCCACATGCAACTTCCAGCTGCCAAGGAGCTGTGCTAGGATGATCCATCTGGAAATTCCTATTGATGTGCCCTGCCTCCACCCCAGGGACATGGCTGCACCTCACTCTGCAGACATGCTGTGACTCCCAATTTAAACAAAAGAAAGAAAAGTATCATTTTTGGCGGCACACCTCTGCCACTCTGATGGCACACAGGTATGCCCTTGCACACCCTTTCAAAATCACTACACTAGCCTAACTTAGGGTGCTGTCACACATTCAACTTAACACTTACTAAATGCAGTTTTCCTTCTTTCTAGAAATTTCTTTTTCACTGTTTTGATGCAGAGATATTTTATTTGTTATTTACTGAGTGAGACCCATGCATGATAAAGGCCATGTACAGACACTTAGGCCAAGTGCAGACATTACATCTTTTCCAGGTTAGGTGGTCCAAAACTGGTCTACATCTGTAACAAAACAGAAGTTTGAGGCACAAACTCTGCTTTAAAAATGGTGGATCCCAGTCTAAGGCAGACCTGGATCTATGAAGTATCAGACTTACTTGATCTAGGTTAGACTGGTCTATCAAACATCACTACCAGATCTGCTCACTAATCAAAGTAGGCCACTGCCCACTGATTCCCTGTTGGCTGTGCAGGGTTCCTGCTAACCTCCCCTTGCAGAGAGCCACAGCTTGGCTGCTCCAGCCAAGCAGTGCACCATCTGAATGCCTAGCTGACCTCACCCCCAAGCTCTCTAGCTATCAAGAGCAGAAGGATAGAGGCAGGGGATGGAGCAGGACTTGTGAGCTGCTGAGGGGAGGAGGTGCCGGTGGTGCACCCCACATTCCCAACCAGGTTGGTGGGGCCCAGAGTGTCCCTGTTTTCAACCCTGGGACCCTGACCAGAGAGGCTGTGGGAAGGGTTCAAAGGATTCCTCCCCACCTCCCACCACACCTGAGCCAGCACCAAATTCCTTGTTGAAGCTGCTTCTGTACAGCTGCAAAGGCATAGCTACCCACCCCCCATTCCTGGAGGTGGTAGCCCCATGTCTGCAGAGAAGCAGCTTCAGCCAGGAATTTGACACTGGCTCTGGGGGTATATATCCTGCAAGCCTTTTCTGGATCTGCTCCAGCACAGGGTCCCAGGGCTCAGACGAGACACGAGAGGGACATTGTGCCCTGCCAATCCAGCTGGGAATGCAGGGTATACCACTGACATTGCCTCCCACCAGAAATTCACAAGCCCTACCCCCCCACACTACCTTTGTCCTACTTGGGGTGGACCCCCATGCTCCCCAGTCAGGTCAAAGCCCAGGGACCCCCATGCTGCCAAGTGTGGGGGAGCACACCTCCCTCTACTGGCTGTCTGCAGCTGCCAGTTGCCTAACACAGCTACTGGGCCACAGTGGGTTGGCTGCCAGGTCATGGCTTCTGCCGCCGGCAGTCACATGCAGGGTTAAAGCTAGGTGGCAGGGCAGCCCTGGGAGGCAGGCAGCCAGGTCCGTGCACCCTGCCCCAATCCTTGTGCCATGGCCATGCTTGGTGAGGCACGGCCTGCACAGCAGGTACCAGGGCCCACACCAGGCCAGGCAGGCCCCTCCAGCCCCACCCACGGCTGGAAGCAGGGGGATGCAGGCAGGGAAATACCCTGGGTGGAGGATGGGGAGGTGGCTCTGCTGCTTGCTTCTAGAAAAGGCAGCAGAGCCCCTTCTTCCCAGGAAGCTCCAGATGGGTTCCCCAGGCCACCGCCTGTGCAGCCGCCTCCCCTGCAGGGTTGCTCAGTGCCCGCGGCTGCAGTGCCATAGCCTGATATAATCCTTGCAACCCCCAACATAAAAAATGAATTTAAATACGTAAATTTGATTTAAATATGTAAATTAGATTGTTTGCCAGTCCACAGTATAAAAAGGTTGAGAACCACTGGCCTAACAGATGACAGGACAGCTGAGAGATATGTATGCCTGGCAGCCAATGAGGAATGGTTCAGCCATATGGCTGTGCTCAGATGTCATCAACAATGTCTAGCACACTGGGAGATGTGCAGGAGTGCCCCCAACATTCTGGCCTTGGTCAATGAAGTCATCTGCCTGCCCTTTCCCTCCCCACCCCCCAAAGAGCGAATGTGACTTCCATGCACTCGAAATCCAGTCTACACAGTTTAGAGAAACCTGCATAGATTGGTTCAATTCTGTCTTGGACTTTTTGATTGTCTGTATTTAGCCTCTGTTTCTCCTGGGAGAGTTTCCACTCTCCCAGGAAAACCAAAAGAGTACATATATTCAGGATTTTTCTCAGAAAGCAAAAATGGACACTCCAGGAGAAAAATAACCTGGGAGCAACCAGGGTTAAATCACTCCTGGGACAGTTTCTCCTTGGAGAGCAGATGTCTATACATGATGTCTTCTGAGAGAAGATACAGCACAGTCCTCAGCATTCCAGAGTGCTTTGCTACTTCCTCCCTCCTCCCTCAAGGGGACAGTATGTCACTCACTGGACTGTCCTACTCCAGCCAAGCAGAGAGCAGAATACTGTCCCTTCACAATCTCCCATTGTGCTGCAGGGAGACACAGGACAACTCTGAGCAGTCTGGGTCAGTCAATCAAGGCTGCCCTCTGCCCTGCTGCCATCTATCTCTGGACAGACTAAGGGTGTGTGTAGATGACACGGGGACCCTAAACTGAAGTGGTGGGTTTTAAAATCATCACTTCAATTTAGGGCTGATTAAAACCCCGTGTCATGCACACACCCCGTAGACTTACCTGCCTCTCCAGTGGGGAGGGGAGAGTGAGCTGCCGGTGGGTGGAGCGGTACCTGGGTTGTGGGGGGGATGGGGCTGGTGCTTCCCTCTGCAGCAGTGGTGGCTCCCCGCAACAGCACCCGCCCACAGGCACTCAGCTCAGGCAGTCTCAGAGGGCATAGCAGCCGTGGAGTGAACCACTGGGCCTCCATACAGCTCAGGCAGGCAGGCAGGCTCCAGGGGGGCAAGAAAAAAAACGATCGGGCTTGTCACTTTTCTTGGGCAGAGCCTGCTTTCCTGGGCTGCTGCCAGGCTTCCTACATGGCTTCCTGCAGAGCCCCTGAGCTGCATGGAGCCCGGTGCTTTGTTCCATGGCTGTAGGGGTAGCAAACTAAGACCCCTTGACTCCCAAGCCATTTAAGGTACATTACGCCACTGAATTACCTACAGCAGCTGGTATATTCTGCTAAACACAAATTAAAATTCCCAATATTTCTTGCTTTAGTTTCAACTGATTTAAGTTTTACTTAATCCAGTATGTGCAACCTGCTTTATATTAATAGATTAGGTAATGAAGAGTTTTATGCTGAATTTAACATCAAACTTCAAAGTACAGAAATGTTACGTAAGGATCACAATAAATGAATTCATCCCTTTAAAATGTTTATACAATATACAATACACTTGATATACAGATAACTTGACGAAGGATGCATTTCATGGGACATTTTCTAACCCACAGTTTCAAGTTCTAAACTACACTTATTTCAGTTTAAAATGATAAACCCGTATGCTAAAGCTTTACAAAGTACCAGGAACATAAATAACACTTTTTTTGGTCCATGTACAAGTTCACTTGTAGCAAGATTTTTGCTCTATTCTGATGTAGATCGTCATACAGTGAGTGACTGCCTATGCATTTTGGCAGGTCATTTAAATGACCTCAGGAATTACTAAATTGCTTCTTGATTTCCTAATCACCCAACATTTGTGCTTCCTTCTCAATGTGAGAAGTTAATTCAGTATTATTGGTGGACCAGTATTACTTGCAAAAAATCAGTATACAAAAAAATGTTTAAGTTTCCCAGTACCAGTGGATTTTAGGAGACATGCATAGCTACTGCAACTGCCCTGAAGAAATATGGTCAGTGGAAAGTTGAAAGGAAAACTGGATAATTCCCCTGTCACCTTCTGTTGTTTCTTGTCTTATATTTAGAATGTAAGCTCTCTTTTTGTTCTGTGTTTGTAACATACCCTGGACACTCATACACAAGCAGTTATGCTGCTCCGACACGCTGTAATTACAGCGCATCACAGCAGACTCAATTAATCAAGTCTGCAGGATCATGCTAATTACCATGCTCCAGCAGACCCCAGCATCACATGAATCAGCATTTCTGCACTGAA